ATTTGCTAATATTTCATTATTTTGTGGATTTTGTGATACTTCAAATAATGGTTTAAATAAATTTGAAAGAAAATTAGAATATGTAAATAATGTATTATCTCCTTTAATTTCAACAAATCTTTTAGGAAATTGAATAATCCATTTATTATGAGTTGAATTAACATTCCATTTTTTTGCCCATTGAGATAATAAATTCCATTCATTTTCATTTTTACCATTAATACTTAATCTTAATTCAAAATAACAATTTGTTAATTCTAAATGTTTCATTTCTGTTTTAACTAAATCAGCAAAATATTCACCTTCCATAATATTATTTATATTTAAAAATACAGTACGTAAATCATCTTCTTTATATCTATCATAATTATATATTTTTACTCCAATTTTATGTAATGTTAATTTATTTATATTAATGTCTTTTCTTTTACACATATCTTTTAATGTTTCTTTTTCTTTTTTTCCTTCTTTATTTATTATTTCATGAACTATTTCTTTATTTTCGTATTTACTTTTTATATATCTAAATAATTCTTTTTCTGTAAAACAACTATCCGCATGAATATGTGTGTCGACTTTTCCTGCTGAAAAAAAATCTTTTCCAGTATTTGTTTTATCAAATGAAAAGATTTTATGTAATTCAAATTGATGATGCATTTCTTGCATTCTTTCCATTGAAAATGTTTTTGCTGGTCCACTATCAATTATTCTTAATATTTCTTTATAATCTTCAATAAATTCTGTTAAAGTAATAGGTGTAAATATATTTTCTTGATTTTCTTTTAATTTTACTAGAAATACTCCATCTTTTTGTTCATAATATATTGTTGTATCATTTTTTGGTAATTCTATTGGAATAATTCCATCAGAATAATGTACTGGAAATACACTAATTCCTTCTTTTGTAAGATATCTATGATTAATTGAATTTATTAATTTTGGTACTTCTACATATTGATATTTTTTTCTTAATTTTAATGCTGAATTAATTTTTTCAGCTGCTACTTTTCTTTCATTTGTTATCCATTTTGTTGATCTATGAATTTCAAGAAATGCATCATCAGCAAGTGATGGTGATAAGTTTTGTTCTTCTCCTTCATTATGTGATTTTTTAAATTCTTCATTAATTCCTTTTGCAGCATTAAAGATAATAGAATATGGATTTGATTTTTTTAATGATGACCCTAATTGGGTTTGTGATTGATTTGGTGAAAATGTTCGATGAAGAGACATTTTTCGTGGACAACTTACAGTTCCTGTATTTGTTAACTTTTGGTCAATCGCAAATAAATTTATAAAATTTGGTTTCATTTCCCTCTTTTAAATTTCTTTTTATTAAGTTACTTTTTTTAATTTTTTTTTAATTTTTTTTAATTTTTTTTTTAACAACTCCTTTTTCTTCTTTGAACCATTTCATTTGTAATCCATTGATGACGCTGTACAAGACTCACCAACAAACCTTCATCAATACCGAATGAAACAATTAAAGATTGTAGTATGAAAATGATATTGAATTGTGTTCAACTTCTACACATTTTTATGGTCCAAAAAGAATAAAAAATGGTCCAAAATAAAGTTCAATAACAAAACAAAACTTCTATAATAAAAATGGAAATAACAAAAATAAAGAAATTACTTTATGAAGGGGAAGAAACAAACAAGAAAAACAGATTTTTGGTTGGCATCTGTTTTTTCCTTATAGATTTTTTAATAAAAAACAAAAAACCCATTAAAATAAAAGATCGAATCATTTCAAATGCAAAGCACTACTTCACCTCAAAAGCGACCAAAACAACAAGAGAGTCGTGTTCGATTAGAACCAGAGTTATATCGTAAATTAAAACAATTACAACAAAAGCTTGGATTTAAAACATTAACTCAGTTAATTGATTATTTAATAAATGAATATACAAAATTACAACAACCAGAAACTAAAGATAGTATTCCACAAAATATTCCATCTGATACATTTTGGAGTAGAGTAGTTCATGTATTAATGTTCAATGGTGTAATTGATGCAAATACTTTATTACAAGGTACTCAAAATGATCCATTTACACATAACCAATTAAGACAAATATTAATTCCTTCTCAATCTCCTCAAGAAATCCAACAAGAACTTCAACAAGAACATCTAATATGTTTAGAGCCTCGTTGTATGGAATGTATCAAACAATATGGTGATTGTTTAAATAATATTTCTTCTACTTCAACAAATTCTTCTTCTTCTACTTGTTTAGGTATGTGTCCTCATTATCAATCATCTTCTCAACCTTGTGCACAAGGTCTTTGTTATACACTTTCAACATATTTCGACGATAGTGGAGAATTTCATTCCAGTTGTTCTTGTCCTTATCAAAATCAACTCTAGAAATTATGTTATTTAAATTCTTTTTTAATTTTTGTTATTTTAATTTATATCTTAAATAAAATTATTTTTAAATTTTCTGTTTTGATTCTCTTTTTTTTTTATTCTACTTGAATTACATTATCAAATCTAAAATCTCATTTTAATACAAAATGTGTTTTGTTTATTTATTTAATAACATAAATAATTATTTAAACAATTATTTAATTAATGAGTAATTTAATTGATTAAATAGTAAAATAATATTTTAATCATTCAAATAATTTAATGAATTGATAGATAGTTTATTGTATTTTCTATTATTTGCAAGAATAAATAATTTAAAAATAGGTATAATTATTCTTTTAATTAAATCTAAAGAAAAATAAGTAGAGTTATTTTTACAATAACAAAAAAAAAACAAAAAAAAAAGAATTGTGGAAAGAAAATTCAACCAGAAAAAAAAAAGATCATAAAATATAAGTTCCTTTTCATATCATCAGAACATTCAATGAGTGCTCCTCTTAGTGATATTTGTTCATCTCCATTAGAAAGAGCAATTACTTTGACATCATCGAATCTTGTATCATCATTTTCTATATGGGGACTTCCTTCAAATTTTAAAACTGATGAATTTAGTTTTTGGAGGAAGTCATACACTTATGATGCCCAAAAACTTTTTTGTTATCCACCACAAGCTGATCTTCAAGAACACTTTTCTAAATTTATTGCACCACAAGGAGTTACAGCAACACAAACAAATAAACTTAATGTTCTTCTTGAAGCACCAAAAAAATATTTATTAATTCTTCCAGGAGAAACATCAACATCGTTCTGTTTGTTAAAAGATTCTTTTTTTTTATTTAAATAAAAAAGATAAAAAGAAGAAAAAGAAAAGAAATTTTAATTATTTCAGGTGTTTGTATTGTAAGAAAAGAGTTATTACAATTTCCTAGTGATTTTATTGAAGAAACTGTTATTCAAAAAATATATACAATTGGAGCCAATCCAATTGTTGTTGATAGAATTTATTGCTTTGTTAGTGAATGTCCTCATATTAATGCATTATTTTCAATGTTAGAAGATATGGAAATATTGGATTTTCATTCTAAAAACAATTATATTAAAGCATTTTATCTCAGAAATGGTGGAAATCCTTCTGAAAAATATGTTTCAAGTAAATCACGAATGATTGATTATTTAAATAAAGTTTTAGCAGTTGAAGCACCTGATTTAAAAGAATATTCATTTTCTATAACAATTCCACCTGCTCCAACAAGAACATTTTATCGTTCTTGTTTATATGATTCTCTTGCACCTGGAGATAAACAGGCAGCATGTTGTTTACAAATGATTGCAGATTATGCATTACCTCGATTATTTGTTGGAGTTCAAATACCAGTTATATTAAGTGCATTATCATCATTATTAAGTGGTAATTCTGTCATTTTAGTTGGTAATAATGCATCACTTATTACTAGTTCAGTATTTGGGTTATTAACATTATTATATCCTTTTATTTGGCAAGGTGTTTTAATTCCATTTGTTCCTGTTCAATTACAAGAATTCTTAGAATCTCCTGTTCCTAGTTTATATGGAACTGAAATCCCGAAAGATATTACTCGTGTCATGGCAGATGTCATTCAACTTGAACAAGGAAGTGTATTTGATCCTACTCTTGAAAAAAGAATTATAAAAACAAATCCAGTTATTCGTCATGCTTTACCATTTGCTGCTGAATTATCTTCTGCACTTGGTAGTTGTGTTCAAGCTACTTTTGCTGATATAATTAAATTTAAAACTTTTAATGAAAGAGAACGTGCTCTTGAAAATATTCCTCAACAAAAATTAGTTTCATTTAGTTCTGATGTTCAACAAAAGATTAAACATCATTTATATGATAAATTATTAAGTTTTGTTCGTAATTATTGTATTTCTAAAGGACCAATTGATCTACCACAATTCCAACAAGGATTTCCTCAAATTATTAAACATGAATCACATAAACAATTTATTAAAGAATTTATTGGAAGCCAACATTTTAATGTTTGGTGGTATCGTAATAAAATGAATGAATTATGTAAGGTATCAGTTACAGGTTCTCCTTCTCCTATTTCTCTTGGTGGTTCTAAAGCAAGTAGTACATCAATATTATCACCATGTAGAACTCCAGATGTTAGAACAATTGAAGAATTTAATGGAGATTTAAAAATAGAGTCATATGCAAAAGAATTACCAGCAATTCCACAAAGTTCATTAAGAAAGTCATATAATGAAAAAGTAATAATCAAATCAGAATCTAAAGAATCTAAACAACAACCAATTCAGATTCATCTGAACCAACAGAAAAATGAAGAAATTAATAAACCAACAATTGAAACTGATGACAAAGAAGAAAAACAAATTCCACCAGAAATAATTAAAGATGACAAATCCAATGAAAATTTAATTAATGAAGTAAAAGAAAATCAAGTAACAATTGAACCAACAAACCAAGAAAATAAAAATGAATTTGTTGATCCCTTGATATGAACAGTTTGAGTATTTTTTTTAATAAAATTAATCAATCAATTGCTAAATTATATTTTAGTTTTTTTTTTTGTTATTGAAAAATAAAATTAAAAAAAAATGAAGGTAAATTTAAATGATTATTTTATTCTTGTTCATCTAATACTTCATTAATTTCTTGAATTACATCAACAATATCAGAATAACCCCATTTAATAAAAATTAATCCAGTTGCAATTTTTCTTTTAATATTTTCAAGTTTGCTATAAAGAACATGATTTTGAGCAAAGAAATCTAATAATAATTCAAGTAATTGTAAAGTAGTAATAATTCTTCCTTTTAAATCTTTATCACCATGATAAATAGTCAATAATGCTACTAATTCTGATTCAAGTGCTTCAGTCCAATTTTTAATTAAAATTAAATGATTAATTTCATCTAATTTTTTATACATCTTTTTAACTTCAACGTCAGGAACAATTAATTTTACAACTTCACTTTGAACAGATGACATTACTTCTCGAACTTCTCTACATCCAGATTGTAATGGATTAACTTCATCAACAATAAAACAATTATCTAAAGCTTTTCTTAAACGAGTAGATGCATTATACATTTCTTCAATACTACTTTGATCTTTTACAACAGCTCTTCCTTTACTTACAAATTCTTCATTAATTTGTTTAAATAAAAATTGTTCATCTAAAGTAAAAGCTTTCATTGCATTTGTAATACCATCATATGTTTTTTCAAAAACAGACAAACACGATTGTTGTGCACACATTGTAGCAACATTAATACTTACACGAATTAAATCACCACAATGATGTTTTTTAAGTAATTTTAATATTTCTGTTCCAATTCTTTTTATTTCAGTATCATCTAAAAGTTCAATTGCAGAAGAAAATTCATTTATTAATGAAGGTGAAAGTAAATCAGAATTACAATTTTTAGGATGAACACAAATTTTAAATTCTTCATAATTTTCTTTTATTCTAAATTCAACTTCTTTTGAAATATTTGCAAATTGATAAACTTGAAGTGCTTCAGCATCTCTAACAATATTTTCTACTAAGTTATAAGCATGATAAATTGGAGGTGGTTGACTATAAAACATTATTATTTCAACACCACGAATAAATTTTACAATATCTTGTTTAACAACCCAATCTCTTTCTTCTCTTATTTTAACTCTAACTAATTCATTTAAAAATAATGCAATATCTGTAATTGATTGTTCAATACTTTTAGCTGCTAATAAACAAATTTCTCTATTAAATGGATTTTCAATAAGATATGCTAAAAAAAGACTTGATCGTGTAATTTTAGTAACTGAATGAACAACTCTTTGAGTTAAATATTCAAATTGTTCATTATGATAATCAGGTGATGTTAATAAAATATCAAGAATTATTAATTCTATTACCATCTCTTTTAATACTAATAATGCATCATTATCAGGTAATGGTGGTAAATTATTATAAAATTCTTGTAATTCTTCAATATTTGATATATTTTGAATTGAATCAATATTTCCTATTGTTACTTTTGGTGCTCCTAAAAATCTTAATTTTTCAGAATATTTAGGTAATAGATAAAGTGAATTTAATGTACCATATCGAAGACATTCTCCAATTTCTTTAATTTCTTGTATTACTATATCTTCTTCTAATGATGATGGTACTAATGTTTCTTCTAATGATGCTAATGCAAATCCAACATCTCTTTTATCTTTAAATTTCCAATATTTGGATTCAAATTTATGAAGTGTTAATTGTAACATTTTTGCAGTTTGTTCTCTACATGGATCTTCTTGATATTTCATTATTCCTCCTGTTGCAAATTGTTGGAAATATTCTAATAATTCTACTTTAGTATCATCAGCTGAATCATATGCACCTGCACGGACTGCTTTTTCTAATGAATCAATTAATGGTAATACTCTTGGTGTAGGAAAATCCCATTTTAATAATATTGGTGTAATTCCTTCAAAATCTTCACTTTTAAGAAGTTCTGTTGCTCTTAAACGTGTTCCTTTCCATGGACGTGATGGTAATGGATGTACTGGTGATATTAAATGAATTTCATTCTTAAGAGATGTTGAAAGTTCTTTACAAGCTTTAAAAACAAGTTCTGCTTTTTCTGTTGTTTTATTTGAAATTAAATATTCATCAAATGCAGAAATAAATGTAGCATATTGATCTGATAATAAATGATGAAGAGAATGTAATTGATGTGGTTCATCTGTTGATAAATTAACTTGAGTTAATAAATGAGTTAAATGAGTATGGAGTTGTACAGCTATTTCAGCGATGATAGTTGAAGTAGTATAATTAGTAATAGATGAAGGAGTAACTTGATCTAGTTTTTCACTAAATATGATAAATATGATAATAATTATATAACAAAATAAAAAGAAATAACAAACAGTAATGAATGTGATTCAGAAAATAATCGAGTAAATGAAGAACCATTAAAAATATGTAAAATTGTTGCAGAATTTAATGCTATTATCTCACAACTAGACATAACAACTGATGGAGTTGTTTCATCCATTAAATTATATTTTAATGTATTAGTTAATTTTTCTAAAGCAATATATGCATCTACAATTTCAATAGATAGAGAAACTAATTCATTTCTTAATGCTGGTTCTTTTAAAAATATTTCCCGAGTAATAATTTTTGTAGTTTCAACAACCATTTTAGAAGCTTCTATTATTTCTTTTATTTGATATAAAAATTTCGATGTAACAATTCCTTGTCCATTACTATATCCATTCAACATTTGTTGTAAATGTTGAAGACTTTCTGAAAGTTGAATTTCAGTATCAGCAATTTCCATAATTAATTCTTTTTTTCTTAATTTTTAAGTTCTTTTTAGTCTCTATTTTTTTTTTAATAAACAAAAATTGAAATTCAAAAATTAAAAAATTAAATATGGATTGTGTTGTTTTTTATTGTTTATTGTTCTTTAAAGATTAATGATATTACAATATTGTCAATTTATTCTAATAACTGATTTTTTTGTTGTTGTAGAATCAATGTTGTATGACATTTTTTTTTGTTTTTTAATTACATAATTTTTAACTTCTTTTAATATTGTTATTTTCAATTGTTATTTCTTTCATTAATCTTATTATATCTTTCTTCACTTATTCTCTTATTTATTGAAATTATCTTTTTGATTATTGTTTAGCACTTTTATTATGTTTTCTTTTTTCTTATTTAATCATTTCATTTAAAACAATCCAACACATCAACTATTATTTTACTTTGTTTCTTGTGTGTCTTCTTATATCGAAGGTAGCATGTCTGAAACACCACACAAACCCTAGTACAAATTCAAGCACCGACACTTCCAGTTATTTCTGGTTATGACGGTGTATTTGAATTAGAAATGTATTAGGTAAAACTGCAAAGGGTGTAGCAAGATATTATGATAGAATATTACATGGTGTAATATAAGGAAGTACTAAAGTGTTTTTAAGACTAAAAGAAAATTAAACATAATAATATAATGGGAATGAAATACTCTCTTCTCTCATTCATAAAATAAAGAAAAAAGGAAAAAGAAAATGTTTAAAATTAAGACAGAAAATAAACAAATGATTAAAAAGAAGAAATAAGCAGAAGAAGGATGAGAAGACATTAATAGGAAAAAATAAAACAAAGAAGTGATTTTCTCATTTTGCAAGAAAAACATAAATGATAAGTTAAACAAAAAGATTACTCTTTTTAAACAGCTAAAGAGATGTGATTAATCTCGGCTAAACTAGG